GAAGGAGGAGCTCAATTCTACATTACATCTTCTTATCTCATTCGAGTTAAATAATTTCTCTTATTTACAAAATATAATTTAGTATTTTTGTTCTAACTGTGCTTCTTATACCGCAATAATTTCCGTTTGCATATTCTCTTCCTTACTCCTTCTCTTCATCAACATTAGCAACTATTCAACAACATTCCATTATCAACATTCGATTATTACTATTCTTCATTAATTGAAGAAGAACAGACTTTCATTACTGTTAAAATTATTTGTAGTAGTAATTAGTTGGTAATAAATTGTTGATTTGTAGAGATCCTGAACTGGGTTTGTTTTGTGAGCTGTTAGTACAAGGGCACCTGACGCTTACAGGAGGGCCTTAACAGAGCCAAAAAAGCTGAGAAGCGACCACCACCATCTTCATGAAGTTCGTATCATGACATACATTGGCATTTTGTTCTTCATCGATCAATCATTTATACCACAATACAATCATAAATTCATACAGAACTTTTCCATTTAGTTCATACTAATCAGAACAAAACTCATTGTTTGTCTCTACGTCTTCTCTTCCATCTCTACTAAACCGTCTTCGCTTATTTTGTTAAACTACACTTTTAATACAGACTTTGAATTTACCACCGAAACAGGAAACAGTCAGTTATGTGTTCAAAGGACGGGGCGCATAAGCCAGCGGAGTTGACCTCTAGACGTTTTATGATTTCAACTACAATGTTCACACATATTCTGATAGCGTTTTTGTGACGGAACTTGGCCTCGAAAATGCGGCCCTTAAAAAATATTACGGCATCAATTGTTGAATTATTTGTCTTATTTGCCCATTTCACCGATCCACGGTTTGATGCCTAGCTTCTGCAGAAGACGAAAACAAAATAAGCTATTCTATATTGCAACATAAAGGCCACATGTTGGTCTATTTCCACTTAAAGTATCACTCCGTTCGGTTGAGTCCTAGTAGAATTATACTCTATTCATGGACTTCTTAGTAGGTCCAACATCAGTCGGTCATTGTGGTATATCGCCCATATCTCGAGAACGGAAAAAGCAAACATCATCATTTTTTCAGCAAAGTTAGTCCTTCAGATAAACAACAAAATGCAACAATTAGATTTCAAATATCGATGGGAGAAGATACCTTACGAAGGCACACATTGCAATTGAAGCACTAATTTTGACTAAAAATGAACAATATTTCGAGTGCTTCTAGTCGAATAAAGCTCAATGTCATATGTTTCATTCTTATATTTGTCTAAGTTTTACTTTATTAAACCACCTGTGTCACTCTTTTATCGCTTTTGTTCTCTGCTCTTTTGTCAATGTGACCAAGATGACGCAATGAAAATAACAAATTATCCATCAATCTCGAAAATGTACTGAAATGGATTTAAAAATTAAAAGCCCTTAAAGAATACATAGGAAGTCTAATATCAATTTTAAAATTTTCAGAAGAGAAACAACATATTGTTTGAGAAGGTGATCTCACAGTTTATCCTTCGGCTTTTTCGATCGATTTAACGGAACCCAACTCATGGCCTGACTCTAGCTACAAACTTGTCGAGCCCATATATGAAAAATTGTCTCTATTCAGGATCGATGGGTTATATTTGTCCCACCTATTTTTCAGTGAAGAAAATATTTGCTCTACATTAAACTGTGATAATCTTTAAGGTAAATAGGTCGTCGACCTGCCATATCGTGCAGGTCTTTTCTCTCTTTCTTTCTGTCATATACATCCTTCTCAGATATCCTCCTTTCTTTCTGCTACTATTACTGACACATGATTTCTCTATTCCTTCTCTCGATGCATTATCAGGAGGTTTTTATCTGATTATTTTGAGTCAAATACATCAGATTGATTGAAGAACCATTTTTCGATTGAAAAAAAATTCTAATCTCAACCATCTCGGAACATTCCTATATCTATATATGCTGACGAAGATAACTTGCGCATTTTTCATACAATGATGACTATAGAAATCACTGTCTCATATATGAGTCAGAAAGTTATTCAATATAAATAGGATAAAGTTGAGGTGAAACAAGATCAAATCCTCCACCATTAAAACTTGGAATAAGCGTTGTTTTGGGACCATCTTTGACACGAGTGATGATTATTGTTTGTCTTTCATGAAAATTTTCACTGTTAAAATTAATTTTTTTCGGTGTCCAGGTAAAACAATCGGTACAATCGGTTAGTTTCCATTGAATTTCAAGAGTATCACTGCCATTAATTCGATGTGGTGGAGTTGTAAGCCAAACTTGGACTTGTGAACTTTGTTTTAAATCGATTTTTGATGTTTGTGGATAATATAAAAGCCCAAGCATAACATCGCGACACTGGATCGACCAATTTCTTGGTATTGAATCAAATAACTTCTCATCTGGTTTTCCCATTGATATAACTTTATAAACTGTTGTAAATTGTCTAACAGTCCATCCTCCACGGGCAACTCGAGTCAATCGAAGAGGAATTTCCGTATTTTTCTTAAAATAAATTTCTTCGCATGGATAAATTTGTCCACTATCAGTACGACATGTTACATTTGAATACCAATAATCTTCATCTTGAGAAGAATCATTTGAATAAATCATTTGAAAATAAAATTTCATGTAATTTTTTATTTCAAATGAAGTTCCATTACGCCAATGTGAAGGAAATGATTCATATATGTTTCCACCATATGTCCAATACGTTCCGTACATACAATTAAGTGATGGAAAATCGACTAATAACTGAACATAATATTTTGATTGTGGTGAATCGGGAATTGTATATGGAAAATGTTTCATAACATAGGACGTTTCACTTGCCGAAGAGATTAAAGCACGTTGATTTATTTCATCAATTGCAAATATTGTTACACCATTATCAGGAGAAAATACAATCTGTGATGGAAAATATGGTTGAACACAGTCACTCGCGTGATAATATAGAATAAATGGTATTAAATACAATGCGACCTTCATTATCTAAAACTTCTTAAAAAAACCTATATAAGATAAATGATGCTATGTGACGATAAAAAATTTCGTTTTCCTCTCTGTCATTGGAGACTGTTATATCAATAAAAACAACATATTGGTATGTATATATATACGTTTACCACCTGCTCTTTCCCTCATGAAAACATTGAAAATAAATCCTCATGAAATGGTGATTTGGTCAAAAAACGAAGAGATTTATTGAATATAGATCGAATAAGTCTCTGGTGGAACAAATTCATAATCTCCACAATCGAAAATCGGAATAAGAATTGTTTGGGGTCCATTTCTGATACGAGTTATTGTTAATATTTGTTCTTGTTCAAAATTCTTACTATTAACAATGAGTTCCGTAGGTGTCCATGTGATACAATCGATGCCTTGAGTTGATTTCTATTGAATACGAATAGTATCAGTCCCGTTTATTCGATGTGGTGGAGCAGCAAGAGTAATATGAATTTCTGAGCTTTGAGGGGTTTGAGTAGTTGTCAGCCGCACCCACACCCTGGTTTGATTCAGCACCCCAATAAAAGCGATTTCGCTTCTAAACAGTTGCTAACAGTTCTAGTTTTGATCGTGAACTCCATTGTAACTCGAAACTGAGTACATAATAGGTCACACAAAATCAGAAACAACAGGTGTTCATGTACACATTCGATAGAGGTATTGATTCCGCTTGTAGAACGTTTATTATTACATATATCTGAAAGACTAACTTTGCTTTTTCCGTTCTCGAGATATGGGCGATAGAGTAAAATAAAAAATTTAGAGTAGAAAAAACAATAAAAGATAGACTAAGAGCACAAATGAAAGATGATCGATTAGAGTAACTATTATTATGCTCAATAGAAACAGAATTTACTGATCAGTTAAA